CATTGCTGCAGGCAGATGAAGAGAAAGGCAGTGCTCCTACCTTACACAGAGGTGGAGGGACTCGTTCCTTCTGAGCCTTGGTGCCCTGCGACACTAATGAGTTTCAGAGGGCATTTGCTGGCACACTCGGCGGTGTGAAAGTAACGAACGTCCCCAGTAAACATCACCCCGTGGTGCACGGTCGTGTGCAACGGGTGAAATACAGCAGTGCCCATTCCCGTTGGCGTTATTACAACCAACGTTACGCCTGGCAAGTGGCGTTTTGACAGGGAAAAGCGTTGCACTGGATCGATCGGAAGCTATTTTGTAGGGGTCAAAAAAAGATGAGTCTTACTAGGTGCAGGAATACAGTCAAAATACAACGTTGAAGCTCTTCAAGAGCACCGGAGGAAGCGGGGTGTTGCTGGGAGCTCCGGGGTGAGGGAGGTTGGTCCTTCCAGGGCTTTGGCAGGATGGCCTCCCTGCACGACACGCTTCCAGAAGGAAGACAAGACACATCACAGCAGAGGCGTGATGTCAAAGGGATGCTTCTTAAACGGAGGATATTCTTTTTCACAAATAGTGCTGGAGAGCTGCTTAAAATTGGCCTGTCCTATTAAGTAAAAATAACTGATTTCCCTTGAGCCATCTTCAGCCCCTCTTTCTCCTTTGATCTTCGCTCCGTCCTTCCAGTCTTTCTCATATTAGTTACCTCCTGCCTCTCCTGACATGTCATCTTCTCCCCTTCTCTCTCTTTTCTATTCCTCCTTCACAGTTCAGTCTCTTCTCTCCCTCTGTACTTTATAGGTGATACAAAATCTCTTTTCTACCTTGTTTCTTTCCGTGCCTTGTGCCCTTTCTGGCCTCTTCCTCCTGCTGCATTCGTGCAGCTCTTCCCTTCTTCTTCCTCTGGCATTTTCCATTTTCCTTGGAATAGCTGTTCTGCTTTTAACATGCACGTGTCTGCCTTTTTCTTCCAGCAGCTTTTCCTCGATCCTGACCTATATGAGGAAATCTCCCTTTTTTTCTGATTTCATGGAATTCTTCCATGTCTTCTCAGCTGAGCCCAAGCCAAGAGAAATCAGTAGCTTGGCCTTGGAGACCTGGAGCGCGGTTTGCACGGTCATGATTTAGAAATGTGTTTTGGTGTGGGGAGGAGAACTGCAGGAAAGATGGATGGTGTCTTCATGTCCAGATGGGACACTGCAGACAAGTCCTGCAGCCAAGAAAAGGGGAGATGAAGGAGTGAACCCAAATGGAAGGACAGCAGAAGGGGTTGGTAGGCATGATGAAGGCTAACGTGAGGCCGGATCAAGGGAGAGATGGAGGTGATTGTGGCAGAAAGGAGAGAGTGGGATGGCTGGTGTTGGAAAGGCTGGGAGAAGAGACTCCTGAAGACCTACTGGATTTTTAACAGCTAAAGAGAGATGAGTAATGTCTTTCATAATTCTGCTTCAGCAGTTAAGATGAAATTTGTGTCGTTTCTGAGTAAATAAGAGTTTTGGTGCTCCTTGACCCCACATCAGGGGAGAATGGGGTCGTGTTGAACGTTGGCCATGGTCTGTTACAGGAGTGCTCTGCCTTCGCTGCATCTGGTGTTTCTCAAGCTGTATAACACATAATTCACATTTAAAAAATCTGGCTACCAAAAAGCTCATGATAAACGTACTACTTTGGTGTGTAGCCAGCTAGACTCTCCAAATCGTTTGAGGAGAGGAGGTAATCATTGGAAGTAAAATATGCATCATACAAGTGTGAATTATTTTGAAGCTCCCTTTCAAGCAAGAAAGGAAATTATGCAAGTTTGTAACTTTTGGCATTTGATATTTAACATGAACAACATAATGCCGTGGTTTCTCGACATAGAGTCACTCGACTTGTTGAAATTGCGTTCTCAGCCCATACAAAAATGACACAAACAGGTATTTTGAAGAGTTCTCTTGATTTAGGTTGTACTTTTCCTATCCTCTGTTGCAATCCACTCCTCTTGCATTAGGGTTGCTTACAGGTGTTGTATACTTAACATTTGCAATCCAGTGATTTAATAATCAAACTTCAGAGCAAGGAATTTTTCAGCTTCCAACTTTGTAAACATCATTTAACAAGCCTGATAGCTGAAATAAAGGTTTGAAAGTTTTGGAAGTCCAATTTAGTGATTATAGCGTTTAGTGCTATGTGCTGGCAAAGTTCAAATTGAAACTATGATTAGAAAAATTATACCTTAAATTGTGTCAGACAAAAATAAGTGTTTACTGACGACAGCATCCCAGGCATGCCCATACCTTTTTTTTTTTGCTGTTCCCTGGCGATTTCATTTATTGAAACACAGCTTCTAGATAAAATTAAAGGTTTAATTCAAGGATTTTGTTTATGATGAGAGGTGGTTGGAACTTTTTCAAGCAGTTTTTAAAGCAAAGTAGTTCAATCTATGGGAAATTTAAGCTTTTATTGAGAGCACAGCTTTTTCAATGAAAAGGTCATTTCTGGGCTATACGAGTTCTTTTTTTTCTTGGATGTTCTTCTTGGCTTATCCAGTCAAGCAGAAGGAGAAGAGACTAATAACACCCCAGGATTACAACTAGCATTTGGAGTGGTCATTTCAGATGCAGAGCAAGGTCTGGAGATGGTCTCCCGTATCTTACAAGAGAATCCTAAGCAGTGGAGGTGGTAATCCATCCCTCTGGCTGGATCCTTGAGCTGTTAATAAAGTATATAAAGTGAAATAATTAGAAAGAGACCTTCCTCAGAGCATTAGTGGCCAGGTATTAAAGGTGTTCACCTAATACGAGGGAGAAAGAACTGGGTTTGAAAGTGTTTGGGGATGAGCCCCATCCACACCAACCACACCTTGGTTGTCCTGAGGTTGGTTCCATTCACTTTTCACGTTAACCCTGGTCTCATTCTTAAGGGTGGAACAGAAAAAAAGGCTTTGAAACCTTATAAAGTTTTATAGGATGAGAAGACTGTTTCCCTCCCAACTCTGGTTGTGTGAGTGAGGAGCTTGGTTTCTAGCACCAGGCTCAGCTTGCAGCACTGGCTTTTGGCAGTCTCTCTTTTGATTTGAAGATAGAGAAAATGTCATGGAGAAGAAATAACATCAAAATGAAATTTTGGCGCAGTTGCATTTCTGAGAACATCATAATGCCTTTCCTTTGGTTGCCTTTCCAAAATCCTCACTGCTTACTGGTTGAGCTTCAGATCCACCTATTAAGCATTACATTTATCCCACTGTGTAAGACTTAGTCAATATACCTGTAAATCCAGCACATGGATCAAGGATGTACATGAAGGGGCTTAAATTAATTGAGTTGCAACCATCCCAATATGTAGCAGTGACCGTTCCCTTCATGGGTACCGCTTATATCCCCTTTTCCATGATGTGGCTCTTTAGATTCCTGGAAGAAGTGAATTTGCCTCTCTTAAAAAGGAGACTTTATTTTTGTGTCTGCACACCTATCGTGTAGGATGTGAGCTCTGCGTACAGTAATTTGGTTTCTGTTACTGGGAACCTGATACCAGGGGACGGCCGCTTAAGAACTTTATGCTGTGGAATCCACAAGTTATAATCCCCAAATAAATAGGATTGTTGAAAAGGAATCACTGCCTTTATTGTTACTTTACCCAGTGCTATTCTCGAAGGGAGTACATTACATTTTAACTGGCTGGTAGGAAAAATTCTGTTAGGAAATTGAAGGTATCCATTAAAACTTAAGCACATGTATTAGGGCTCGATGCTTGCAATAACAGCCTAGCTTTATCGTCGCTGGATGCATCGCACCTCATTGTGACTGTGGAGGGAAATTATTGCATTATACCCCATTGGTAATTTCATATATTTCAATTTAAAATGAAAAGCCAGTGCTGAGCCAGCAGCGTGCGAGGACCCCAGAGCCTGACGTGTCCGTTTCCCGGTGCCGTCCCTCGCGGCGGCAGAGCTCAGAGCCTGGGCACGCTCAGAAATGTGGTTTATTTTGCAAAATTTATACGCTGTGCTGCAACGCTCCAGGGCAATGATGGGTTTGGTACCAAACTGATCCCACCTGCCTGGCCGGGGAATTTCTGGGTACTATCGATGACATTTGAAGAGAAAACCTGGTGAACAGGAGCTGGAGAAAAGCTGTTTGACCTGACAGAGGCTGGCACCAAAGGGCCAGGCAGTGTGCCAGGAGGCTGGTGCCAGCGAGGGAGCAGGAGGAGCCGGTGGCTGGGGCGGTGTGGAGCCGCCTGCCGAGCGCTTTGCCAGCAGAGAAGGGTTTTTGTGGACCTTTTTATATATTGCAAAAGAAACCAGGAAAGTTGGCAGATGGGACTGCGAAAATGCCACTGGTTTTCTGCTTATTGTAATAAGTGGGCAGAATTTAGTGGGTTCTAGCAGGGTTTGAAGAGCTGGGAAAATCAGGGGACTGGGGAAAAGAGGAAGATTTCCTTTTTTTTAAAAAATTGAGTTGATTTTCTGAATGAAGAGCAGGATCACAGTGGATGAGTAATGTCTAGTAACCCTGACGTTCCCCCTCCGGTCGCAGGAATCTGTTTGCAGGTGCTGCCTTGCTGTGAGGTACCCAGCTAGTGCTCGCTGCCTGCTCCTACAGAGCTTGACATTCGAAAACAGCGAACAAAAAATAAGTTCAAGAAAACAATCACAAGTTATTACTGGCATCAAGTCCTTAAACGGAGCTGGGAGCACAATCCTATTGCTCCCTGCTCGGCGCGGTGCGTCGGAAATGTCAGTTGCTGTCGGTGTCTGTCTTTGTGAGCAGCTACAGCTTAATTTCATTTATTCCTCGAGTGGCAGGTCCAGTCATTTTTCAGGATCAGTGCCTGTTTTTACCAACTGATGTGTCTGGATTCTTGTCACGGGTAGTTAACACTTGGTACTCTTAAATCCTTCGCCTGCCGGAGCGCATCAAACTCACCAAACAAAAAACCGCTGCGTTTCCCAACTTACCCGACTCCCATCTGATGCAGATGCCTTTTTTTTTTTTTTTTTTTTTTTTTTTTTGTTCTTTTTCCCTCTTTGCCAGGTCGTCGCCTATCACTACTGCCAGGCTGACAACGCCTACACCTGCCTGGTGCCCGAGTTCGTGCACAACGTGGCCGCGCTGCTCTGCCGCTCGCCGCAGTTCGGCGCCTACAGGGAGCAGCTCCTGCGCGAGCCGCACCTGCAGAGCATGCTCAGCCTGCGCTCCTGCGTGCAGGACCCCATGGCCTCCTTCCGCCGGGGAGTCCTGGAGCCCCTGGAAAATCTGCACAAAGGTATCGTGACGGCGCTCCCCGTGCCTTCCCGGAGCTCCCGCGCGCCCTTTTTTATTGTGTTTGTAGTTGCATCGGGGCTCTTAAACAAAGCGATGGATGGATCCCTCTGCGTCGCATCTGGAGAGCTGCAGGGAAGAGGTGGGGTCTGGAGAAGCTGAGACTATGCCATGGTGCTTGTTGGGGAGCGAGGGGTTAACCACCCCTCTCCTCTTGATGGGCGCTTAAGGCTCATAGATGACAGCTTGTGCTTGGCTTTCTTTTTTCTTGCTTTCTTCCATGTTCCTCAAGGTTCTGAAGGTGAAAATGAGCAACAGTTTCCACACACAGCTCTGCTTGGCAGTATGTTCTGATTTAT